TCCCAAATCAGACAACCATTTCCAGATGACAGAAATCCTGCACATTTTCAAATACCCTTACTGGGCTAAATCCCAGAGTCCAAGACCATCAGGAAGTCGCAATTACATTTATCAGTATAAAACAATAAATGAAATCTTGATGGACTAGGATGTTATCAACTACTTGCCACACCTGTCCCCACCCAATAGTTTTCATCCTGGTGAGACACAGAGTGAGCAAGCAGTTAATTCCCACTGTGATTCTCTGGGTTCTTTAATGATAGAAAGCAAATTTTAAAAGAAGAGAGAGGGAAAGGCAGAGGGAAGGACAGAGGGAGGAAGGGAGGTCACCCATTTTAGGAAAGAAATCACAACGGTAATTTGCTTTTAATCTTTCTTTCAACGAGGCTATGTCCAAAGGCATTTATCTGCACCATGGTATAATAATTTTTTACAGAAAATGCATGCCTTAATTGCCAAGTTAATAACTTAATAATTATCAAATAAGAATCTGCATTCCTGTTAGAGAGGGAAACTAGCAGTAGAAGATGTGATCCTGCATAGAGGCAAGAGCCCAGACATCAAAGAACAAGACAATTGCCTTGCATGCGCTAAGAATAATAATTTGAAAGAACGAGTGCCCCTGAAAAGAAGGGGGAGAGAAGAATGGAAGCCGGGGAACCAGGAAATGGTGATAGGCATGATGTTGGGTAAAACTAATAGAACGACCCTTCCACACCCTCACCCATTTTCCCCCATGCATACTTTTTCCACATTTGCGCCACTATGGCATGGAACAAAACAGCGTTTATGTGGTGGGATCCAAAGGCTGGAGCCAGAATTCCCTATATGAACTAAACTTCCTCCAGGCCTGTGGAAATCTTGGTAAGAGCTTTGCCACAGGGCATGGCCTGGTGTGTAGTGGGGGCAAGAGGGTCCTGGTAATCCTAGCTACACAGCAAGATACTGGGCATGCCCAGCCAGCTGCTGAGTGATACCAGTGTTCCCAGCCTCTTACTCATTGCCAGGTGACACAGGGAATTACCAACTATCTTTGTACTGTGTTGCCTTTAAAATACATATTCAAATTCTTCGTCTCCAAGAGAACTTCTCATCTTCTTTCCTTTTGGACCACCACCCACCTTGGGACCAGCCAAATTATTGTCAATACCTTATGCTACAAATACTGTTCTTGTTGGGGAGGAAAGGGGGTCTGTAACCTCCAGCCACACTTCTGGCTGGCCTTTAGCAAATAACGAAGGAGGCTAGTTTCCACTTTGGCCCCTTCCCACCTCCACTTCCATTGCAATCATCCTGTTTTTGGAATAACACCTTCTCCATTCTCCAGGACTGATCCATGCAAAGCACAGAGCCAGGCACATAGCGAGTAATTTTGATTAATTAAATTGAATTAAGTTATAAAATCACATATCAATGCAAATGATTACATGAGACAGTTAAGGAAAATACTATAGAAATTACTATTATCATCATCATCATCATCATCATCATCATCATCATTGTCATTGCTTTGATCATTATACGAGAAATAAAAGTACTCTGGGAGCAGAGAAGCTTGTATTTATTTATTTACCTGTTGATCATCTTTGCTTACTCGTATCCAAATTGCTACTGCCAGGATCAAGATACCACATAACTGCAGAGGGAAAAAAAATGCATATATGTAAATATATTAGAGTACAATAAGATAAACTGCAACTCTAATTTCACATACCTCTAGCCATCTGGTTATAGTGGTTTATCATTAATCACACCATTATGACCTAAAAGTATAAATGAGGTATATTCATGTGTAGATAATTGCTAAAATGTTCCACCATAATTGGTAAGTTTGATAGGGATAATCTGTTTCCCTTCCACAGCCCATCAAAGGTCTAGGACAAGAAGTTATCTCCAGCATGGGGGAGGGGAAAGATGATTTTCCATGTTACAATTCTAAATCCGTGTTTTTGCTAGATTTTAACATACAAAAGATAAGTCACAACAGTTTAAAGACAAAATATCCTTATTAGGCCCCTGGGTTTGTCTCTGAGAAGCTGCTTAGACCAAAAGAAAGGGAATAATTGACTAATTACCAAACACTGCTTCAAGATTCAAGAAGCAAGAAGCTAGGAAAGACGGGAAAAATAGAACACTTGACAAAATTTGCAGTTAAGCAACAGAGGGTTTATAATGCTTTTTATACCCCAATAAACTCTTTTAAAATAAGCTCTTTTAGGCAGTAAAGTTTACCCAGAGAAGAGGAACAACGAGGAACAGTACTTAAAGCCTTAAATTCCTTTAATGACTTTACCAGATTATTTAATTTGGACCAAGGCCAACACATAAAATGTGAAACACATTTTACTTTCATGTAAGTAAAACCCTTGTCTTTTACATTTTTTTTAAGGTAATTAAGTTTTTGGCTCAAAAAAAAAAAATCAATGATCTATTATTAGATAGAGATGTTGAGAACAAGCTTGGTAACATACCAAACCCAGCAGGCCTTGGAGGACTTTCTAGACTATTCTGGCCTTATGGTGCTCTGACAGAGAAACGCCTGAGTCTTCCAAAGCCGAGTGACCTTGGAGCATCATTGCTTTCATACATGGTTGAGCCATCTGTCTAGAATCCCAAAACAGCAGGTTCACTTTTAATGGTTTCTCATTAAGTTTGCCATGGAAGCAGAGTCAAGGGCTTTGTTAAGGAATGGGGAGTCCTGCGAGCAGCTAAATAACCAGAGAATCTGCGTTCCCTAATAAATCTCAAAAATCATCCTGGTTCAAATCCTTCATCTCAGATAAAGAAACTATTGGCTTGTCGGAAAAATCATGATGTATTTTTTCTATGTTTTTTTGTTGCAAAAATGCGTTATGACTTTTCCGTCAACCCAATAGAACCCTGAGCGGTAACAGTCACAGTGTGAAAATCCAGCACAACTCCTATGCAATGGAAAACCAAAGTTCTTTATCAAATCGAATAACCTATACAATTTAATTATCTTACAGGCAAGCACATACACAAAGTATAAAACACAAACCACTGAAAAAAATAGCTGTAGAGCCTGACAACTCACTTTATTGCTTCTACCAATTTTGACTAATTCTAATTTCATTTGCAATGAAGATAAATACTCATTTTAACAGTTCTTTGTTAATAAGCTTGTAAGAATTTATGTCAAATGATAATGAGACTTTCTCAGATTTTTCAGTAATTTTATAGCAGCTGGATTTGTTGTTTATTTGATTTGTTCACTGATATTTTCTTTCTTTTTCTTCTTTCATAAGAAGATTTACATTGATAATCTTAATAGTCGCACTGGCTTTTAGCTGTAACTGAAAATAATATTAATGATCTAAAGAGGTATTATGATTATCATCCTTATCTGATACTGATGCAACTACAGAGGAAACTTTAAGAACTCTTAGAGACTTAGAGTATAATTTTGTTTAAACCCTGAATTTCTTGTTGTTTCTGTGTGACTTTTTAGTCCACTTCTTTAATGTATTTAGACATCATATTATTCAGAGATCTTAGGAAATCAACCACCTTTTCCTCTTAAATGATAACTTTTAGTCTTCTCAGCCATTGAAAGTTATCTGTAACTTTAACATTTAAAAGAATGAGTATCAAAACAACAATGAGATACCAATACACACCTATTAGAATGACCAAAATCTGGGACACTGAAACGCCAAATGCTGACAAGGATGTGGAGCAACAGGAACCCTCATTCACTGCTGATGAGATACAAAATGGTACACCCACTGTGGAAGCCAGTTTGGCAGTTTCTCACAAACTAAAGATACTCTTACCATATGATTCAACAATAGCGCTCCTTGGTATTTACACAAAGGAGTTGAAATTTACATCCACACAAAAACTTGCATAAGGATTTTTACAGCAACTTTAGTCTTCATTGCTAAAACTTGAAGCAATCAAGATGTCCTTCAGTAGGTAGATGGATAAATAAACTGTGCTATATCCAAACAATGGAATATTATTCAGGACTAGAAAGAAATAAGCTATCAAGCCAAGAAAGGATATGAAGGAACCTTAAATGCATATTGCTAAGTTAAAGAAGCCAATCCAAAAATGCTACATGCTGTTTGATCCCAACTATATGACATTCTGGGAAAGGCAAAACTGTGGAGTCAGTAAAAAAAATCAGGGATTGCTGGAGGGGTTATGAAATGAATGGGCAGAGCACAGATTTTTAGGGCAGTGAAAATGGTCTGTATAATACTATGATGATGGATACATACCAATACAATTATACATTTATCCAAACCCACAAAATGTACAACACCAAGAATGAACCCTAAGGTAAACTGGTCTTTGGGTGATTATGATATGTCAATGTAGGTTCATCAATTGTAACAACTGTATCACTTTTGGTGAGTGATGTTGATGATGGGGGATGCTAAGCATGTATGGAGGCCAGGGATATATGGGAAATCTCTGTATCTTCCTCTTACTTTTGCTAACCTAAAAGCACTCTAATAAATTAAAGTCTTTTAAGAAAAGTATTCAATTATTTCAGAAGTCAAGAATATTTTGCCCAACTTCAGTCTTTACAATTAAATACATTTTCTTGGGGATTATGAAGTTGGCCAAACAATCCTTTCCGTCCTATTTCTATCTTTTCTTCAAACTTCATGTTAAAGACAAAAAGAAACAAATATTTAAAATATATCATCCTCATCTTATTAAAGAAATTCACATATAAAAATCAGAGAGTCATAATAACATGAAATCATTCATTAATTTGTTGAATGACTTTAAAAGTAAATTGATTTTCTGTCAAGCACAACCATTCTAGAGCCATGATGGATACTAACCTATTTTATCCCCCAATTGTTATAAGATTGGCCATCATAATGGTTCTTTGAGCCCTTTTCCAGTTTGGCTTTAAGGGTTTGTTCCCTGGTCTTTTTATACTGTTTTAAGTAATTGCGAGTATAAATTAAGAAATAAGTGTCTAGCACTGTCCTACTTCATGTTGATAAGGTTCTAAAAGGAAATGGGTTGATATGTTGGGCACCCAGGTCAGTCCACAGTGGGTGGACACTGCAGAACTGATTAGGCCTACTCCCGTCCCACCCCCACCCTTCAGTGAGTTATTGTGTTTGTCTCTCAGCTTTCATGCAATACCTTCTCCTTATGGAATTAGGATGCAGTTGGTCTGAGCCAGCATTTAGAAATGAGGCAATTTTTGCTTATGACATTTGCTTATGAACATGCTGTGGACTGAATTACAAGCTCCCTAAATTCACATGTTGAAGTCCTAACTCCCCATGTGGGTTGGGATTTCTAGTCTCTGTTCTATCAGCTTCTGTCACATCTTTTATCTCTTTTTGATTTCCCTCTGGGAAAGCTTCTCAGTTTGGGATTCTTACCACTGTCTCCATGTAATGTGATTTCTAGAGTGGATTTTAATTCTATCATCGTGTTTCTGGTTTACTGGAAGTGCTGCTTTATTTTATTTTGAGGTAGGGCTTTTAGTAGGTAATCAAAGTTAAATGAGATCATAAGAAAGGGATCCTTCTCTGATAAGATTGGTGACCTTATAATAAGAGGAAGAGCTAGAGAGAGAGCTTTCTTTTGCTGTGGACACACACGCAAGGAGGAAAGGCCATGTGAGGACACAGCAAAAAGGCAGCCATTTGCAAGCCAGGAAGAGCGGTCTCACGAGAAACCAAATTAACTGGTGCCTTAATCTTGGACTTCCAGCCTCCAGACGGTGAGAAAATAACTTTCTGTTGTTTAACTCACCAAGTCTATGGTATTTTGTTGTGGCAGCCCAAGTAGACTAAGAAAGGGCAGGAAGAAAATGGGAAGCACCATCCAGGACACAAATAAATGGTATAGAACAAGCTGATTGGCCCTTTGCTCTGATACACTGTAGTGTCCTCCAATCATCCTTACTCCCTCTCAATTCTATCTTTTTTGTTGTTGTTGTTTTTGTTCCAAAGGCTTTATTTAGCCAAGCCTGGCGATCACCTCACTCTGCAAGGGGAGAATGGCCCCAAGGTATTGGCAGGTGGAAGTTTTATTGGGCTTGCTTTCCGGGGTATTGGCAAAAAGCAGAAGCAAAGCAGGTGTACAGAAGCAAAAAGAGCTGTTAGTTCTTGTGAAACGTTCCAAGCCAGTTGTGATAAAAACTAGTTCTGCAAAACATTTGTTAATATTTCTGTTGCAATCCATTTCTTGTAAAGCTAGGTATTCAATTCTATCTTTTGATTTGGGGGTTTATCAAAGTATTTTTGAAGAGTGTTGAAAATGGAAGAAAGTGCATAGTGTGCTATGCTGGGAGGAAGAATGTACTGTGAGCTATATCAATATTGGTCCAAACTAGACATTCTTTAGATAAGCTTGAGGGAAACCTTCCTATGCTGCTCCTGAGAGGTTACACAAGAATAAGAAAATATCCAAATGGTTAACTCGGATAACTAGATTTGTTTTTACAATAACCCCAGATCACTAGAGGCCATGAGTACCGGAGGCAAGGCTCTTCACAGCCCTTACATTTCCAGACAGTACTGCTGTTGTTAATTTTCAAGTTTCCTCTCTTATTAAGCATGTATTACAAGTCCAGTTTAATTGCACTATGGTAAGATAATGCAGGCTGTGAAATCATTGCTTGTGAAAATTTTT